AAATCCAAATTAAATAATCCAAAATGGCAAAGTTAACAATAGGGTGATCAGGGCAATCAGGGGTGCCATACCTTTCCAAGAGCAATTTGGTAACCAGAAAAAGCAAAACGCGCTTTCACTATAGATTCCTCACAGGCAGAGTGCATATGTATTATGAAACAGTTCCTCTCTCCTCGGGCCCACTGCGGAAGTAATGGGGGCTATTTCACCACTTTCGGCCCACAAAATAATATAGAGAGCTGCAGCTCCCGATAATTCAGTTAAAGTTCTGGCTGGCACTGTCCTCCCCAGTGCAGCAGATATCCAGAGTCCGCCCAGATCACCTGTAGCAGTCTGCTTGTGTGGTGCCCCTGCACCATCACCCACCATAGTTTTGAGGGCCCTAGTCACACCATATCCTGTGCAACCCGGTGCAGTTTGCACCTGGAATGCACTGGATCGCATAGATAAAACTGGGCCATGTTCTGGGGCGGGAGGGGGCATGTCGGTGCCATTCATGTCAATGGCACTGCAGACACGCCCCCGGCCCGCAGTGCGATCGCCCACACCGCAATGCGAGGTACAGGAATGCCCTCCGTTTCAGTGCAGTGTGATCTGAAAAAATAGTGGATGAAGCACTAGCCAGCCTGCTATTGATATTTAAAACTGGTGCCAGCGTTTACATTCAGTTGCTTCAGCAGGCAGCTGTTATTCCCATGTGAAGAGAGGTAAGATCTTCATATAGACCTTTTAGTGATCATTTGAATATTTGCGAAAAGAAAGGTTTTTTTTTTTACCTAGTATGCCTCTTCTGCATTAAATAATTCTCAGTGTACAATCCCGAATCCGACAGGTGTTATGAATGATTTTTCACATGCATGTGGGAGAGTTACGTCATCTCAGCCAGGCCAGTCAAGTTGGCTGAAGATTCCGAACCCGGAAGAAACCAGCAAGAAAATGCTTATGAGGATGTTCACGGGCATTGCGTTGTTGAAGGGGAGGGGAATATAGTTTTAATAGACAATTGACTACATGTAGATGGCTTTTCATGATAGTGAATGGGTGTTCCACCTCATTAGGTTTTACCTTTAAACTGAAACTACCTATTCTCTTTAGATTTTATGGTAGGTGTGTAGTTCTATTTGCATATCATCTGTAAGAAATTGGTATCTTATTCCAAAACATGTAATCTTGACATTCTCGGAATCCAAAGCTTTCAAAATATTGGTTCTGTAGGGGAAGGGGATGAGAAAATAGAGTTTTTGATTGTTCAATGTTTAAATGCAGAACCATAGAGCAACCAAAGACAGACTTTACCTTTTATATAAGTTTGGTGAAGATATTTAGGTTTTATCGATGTCAACAGTTGGCCATTTGCAAATGCATTTGACGTTTTTGGTATATTTAGATAGATCTTCTTTAAATATAATGCACTGCTGCATGTGACCATGGTACATAATACAAGGTGAATGTAACATGGCATGTTTTATTGGTGGGAAATGATTTATAGCAGTTCTATTTCTTTTCTTATAGTTGGATATTATACTGTTTTCCCTTGTAGTTATAGGACAGCTCTTTAAGACCATTGCCTCAAGCATGCTAAGCTCTAAGCCACTTACTGTTGATCCCACGTGGTTTACACGCAGAGAATAGAACTGTTTATGTGAAAAGAAATCTTGTTGTAGAATTTTAATCTGGTGTTACCCCTTCTAATCTTCTGACCAATAATCTGTAACCCTCGAGTCCTATAACAATAATTGTATTCAAATATTAACAAAGGGATTTTTATAATAATATGGGGAAGACTTGTATCTTCTGGTATGCTGTTTTTGCACCCTTTGAGCCCTGTGGGAAAATTGCATGTTACTTCCTCCTCCTGTGACTTCTTTCAAGATAACGGGAAGAGAGGGGAAATCTGGCACCCAAACAGCTGTAAAGACCGAACCTAAGGGTTCTGCCCTTGCTGTACCTAAAAGTGTTACATTCAAAATGCTTGTTCTCTGTGTCCTACAAGAATATAAAACAAGATGTTTTACATCACCCCCATCCAAAAGTAAAAAAAGAAATTCCATGGGATAAATAACACTAATAATGTTCTGGGTCCCCATTTGATATTCTGTTGCACAGGTAGTCCTCTGCTGAAGATCCAACCTATAGTCAAGTTTCATAGTAAAGTGATTTCTCATAAACTTGCCGTATGCTGTCTACAATATTTGCATGAAGGTGCACACTCGTACAGATCAAGTGTCCATTTGTTTGCATTCAACACTGTGCAGAGACCTACATGATGTCAGTCTTATTTTAGGAAACGTGACCAGATTGGACAGAAACCATTTTATGGGCAGAAATGCTCAGATTGTAGGGCTGATTTTCTAAAATTATAGAGACTTAACAAATTGAAAGTTCACTTAGCTCAGTAAATAAGTTGAAGATGTGTTCATGTTGCATATTCAATCATATGCAAGGGAAGTTAATAAAAAAACAACAACATTTGGTTCCATGTGATTGGATAATTAAAGTGAGCAAAGCTTAACCTTATCCACCTATGCGACGTGGATTGTTTCTATTCTTTTGGTAAAGAATCTATCTACATCTTTCCACTTCTATTTTAAGTTTAGAAATGATTAAGGTATACCTGTACTTTTGGTTCAGTCGCACTTCTAATTAGAGGTGCACCGAAATAGAATTTTCAGACCGAAAATAGAAAATAAAAAAATTTGTCAGGCCGAAACTGAAAAGTATTTTTTTAATAACCTTTTTAAAAAAATGTTTTTAATATTTTGTTTATTTATATTTTTACTTGACTGTCGGGGGCTCTGGGGGAATATATCTGGGGTCTAAACAGTCCCCTGATATTTTCCTTTTGAAATAGAGATTGAGGACACAGAGTCTGCAGCCCCTGTTATGAATGAACAGAAAGCCTCTATACTGAGTGTTCCTGTCCATTCATAAACGGAGGATACAGTATGAGTTAAATATGTCCACAATCATGAATGAACAGGACGTAATGTAGAGCACTTCCTGTTCATTCATAATTGGGGACACAGTAAACATACTATGCCCTCAGTTATTTGCAAGCACTCAGCTATCATATATTAAAATGTTTATTGAAGGTTTTCAGAATATAACAAAAGACATACATACAATACAGTATGAGAAGTTTGAAGTTGACTTCCGTCATGTAGCTATTCGGGGAGGCAGAGGAGCACATATGCAACACCTTGGACCTCTGAGAGGGGCATAAGGGTGTTCGAAATTCCTGTTCCCATTTCCCAAGGTATGGCGGGGGCTGGTCACCAGTAACTCACTCTCAGCCACCCATAACTGTGCAGGTTGGTGGGCCAGACCACCACAGACCAAGGTCTGGATGCAGGCCATAAAATTCCCAGGTCTGCTATAGCGAGTTCATTTTTTGCTGGAGCACAGAGTAAGGGCTCTCCATTGGTTTGTACCAAAAGTTCACATCGAATGTACGGGCCCTGCTCAGAAGATTTTGACAATGGGCAACTGGAGTCACATATGGCAATATAACCAGAACATGTATTGTTGCTTTCACAAGGCGAAATCTGCACTGTGTTTGAGGCCGAATGACAGGCATCTCCTGGGACAGGAGTTTCATATTTTGGTGGGATGTTTTCTATGACTCATGCACACCTAAGAGACACAGGGCTGTTCATTTTCTTGTAATAATGCTGAGATTGCTCAGCAAGTGATTATGAAGGCATCCCATTAAGCAGGCATTTAAAAAGAGGTTTACATAAATTTCCTAACACTAGTAAACAAAGTATTCATTAAATATCTATCCTCCCGCTCCAAAATCCTATTTATTTTAAGTGTAATCAGCCTGCACACAAATAATATAATCATCCCCCCAAAAAACCCATCAAATTAACATAATTGCAGGACTAAATCCCCACTAGCAAGTTCTGATTAATAAAGTGTATACACATATGTAACTGAATTAAAAAAAATAAACCAATAAAGTTCAGATTTTGTCTTTTTAATTGACATATGAATCCAAGTTAAATTCGATATTTTCATCCACAACATGTTTATAGACAAAATGTGCAATAGTCACACCCTTCAAGTGCACCTCCATAGTCAGATAGGCTCAAACTAACCTTAGTTATAATATTATAAATAAGATTAATATGTGCTGTCTCCCACCTAGGGGTTAATACTTCTCATGATGGGTCCACATCTTTCAGCAGTGCGTTCCATAAAACAATTTTTTTTTAAAACAGAAGAATAAAACATACATAAAGATGTGCTAGAACCAGAGTACTAGGTGGACTAGAATAAGCTCCAGCCTCAGGCAAACACTACTGCTGAACCTTGCGGCTTCCCTGTGTCATTAAATATCCACCGCAGCAGTGTGTGTGCTAATGTCAGCAGGCTCTGTCCTACATGAAATGTCCTACTTGGACTTCGCAAGTCACCAGCTCCAGGCCTTTGACAAAGTCCATAGGCTGTTATGCATGGGACAGAGCTTGGTGATGTCCATGCAAGCGCCATGTAAGTTTTTAATTAGAAGTAGTTAATCTGAGCAGACATTGATAGGCTTTCCTATTAGAAAGCCCAGTACAGTCTGCAAAACGAGTCATAAAAGCACCACACATTAAATGTATATTTGTACAAAAAAGAATCAATGCAAATAATAAAATGGTATAAAATATCAGTGTATAATGTGTAGACGTAATAAAAGCTATCATAGTTTTCCTTTAAAACTCGGAGCAGGAACAAGTAATGAACGAGTCCAGAACCATTCAAATCTATGAGTCAGTCTGAGGTTTTCTAAGACTCATTTTAAAGCTTACAGTATACATTTTTAACAAGGCTTTCTCTGCACTTCCATATGTATTTTTAGCATCTAAAAAGATAGCTCTTAGCTATTATACACAGTTACATAAATGTGGAGGAAGATAATCCTTACAATGCTCGAGATGTTTTTCAGTCTACTGTAAGTACAAATCTCTTGTTAGATTTCACTCTCACATGTTTCTCTTTTTATCCTCTTTTAGGATTGGAAATGGATCCTGACAATCTGGACCTTGATTCCTTGACCCTAGATCCTGACAAGCTGAACTTACGGTAATTGTGTGCTGGTTGCTATCTTTGCTTATGTTTGGGACCCATGCACAGAAGTGTCTGAAGGAAAAGCTGCTTATTTGCCTGCAGCAGCTAATCCATTTTCCCTTTGCTATATACAGGAGAACAGGCATAGACTGTGTTTGTTTTTTCTTCTTTTTTTTTTCCTTCAGACACCTGCATGAGCTTGTTGTCTCTGCATTTAGTCAATCTCTTTGATGCCATGTAAAAATGTCCATGTCCTCTATGTTGAAAGGGTTATTTGCATACATTACCCAGGACGCATTGCCCATGGTATTCCTCCCTGTCTTTTCAATACCACAGTAAAAACATTGTCCATGAGGCACCATTCCCACATATATGCTGCCATAGGGCAGGGTTCAGTGTCATTTTTACAACCATTAGACAACCAGCATTCTAGTGAACAGTAGCACACTGTAGTCTTAGTTTGTTTTTCAGTTTTTGCACTCATAATTGTACTGCTAATGGAAAGTTAAAGTCAATCATTATTATATAATTACTAGCCAGTAGCAATTTAACTAAGTGCAAAAACTGATTAACTGGTACACACACAAAACATGCTTAGCCCCAATGCATGCACTTCAGACCACAGATCAGCCCAAATGCATATACCTTCAGACCTCAGATTAGCCCCAAACGCTTCACCTTTAGACCTCAGATCAGCCCCAAACTCTGTACTTTTAGAAACGCAGGATAATGCTGTAGGTGGGCTTCTTTTGTAGCGCATGCTGAGGTCCTCAGCCACTGACAGGCTTTAATTGACATTAGGGAGATTAGTGGGCCAAGCTTTGGAATGAAAAGCCTAGTGAGTGGTCATTTACAGCATGCATGTTGAGGGTTGCTTTTCCATAGATAATTTACACCAGTAAGGCTTTAATGTGACTTGTGAGTACGGTACTATGGACTGTGAGCCCAGGCTGTATAGTAATGCTGAACCCAGGCGGTGTGCCCATGGTAGCATGGGCACACAGAAAAGGTTGGATGACTTTGCGCATCATTAACCTTAAAGTGGGGCAGCGACAACTGGCAAAAGAGGGCTCTAGGGCATGGCGAATGTAAGCAGTGCATTAACAAGTTGGAGGCCTTAAAAAAATGAAATTTAAAAAAGAAAAGTTGGAGTTGGGCTTTCAGATATGTAAGTGCACTATAGATGAGTAAGGCTATTCACTGGCCAGTAATGCAGTGATGGTTACCTCACCGGCATACCACATGTAAACCAGAATTCCTCTTCTATACACTTATATCCAGTGGTAGAGTTTGAATATCTGCTGTTACATGTATTGCACTGCGGTAGAGCGTACCCATACAGCTGTAGGTTGCAGTAGTAGGTGCACTCTTCATAGAGGGCAGTGATAGACCTACCTATTGGACACCTTTTATTATGACACTCAAACTGTCTTTTTGACCCACGGCTTTTAGCGGAGAAATATAAACTATTCCAAGTTGTAATGTCCAACATATGTATATAACTTGCAAAGGATGGATTGTGTCCTTACTTAACCAACTTTAACCTGACATCAGTAATGATGCTGCCTTAATTTCTTGATTTCCTCCTATGGGCTCTTATTAGAATCACATAATGGTGTTGTTGAACATTCTCTCCTGTGAACTTCTATTTTCATGATGGACTAGCAAAGAGGTGAATACCTAAACCTATTTTTAGAAACTAGAGATTCAACCAGCAGTAAATAGGAAGAGTTACCAGGACACCAATCCAGGAATCTCTGCCAATGACTTCACAGTGTTCACAGTGTACTTGAGATGGTGTGAGTAATGTTGTCCATACGGTGGGGCAGAGGTAGTGTCATATCCATGACGTACCCTGCAGAAGTAAGATCTGGCCTAATAGAATAGGAAACTTTTATAAGTTGTAAGTGGCCAATTAGACTGCATATCTAGACTTTAAATGGGTTTCCGCTTTTGAATAAGTGTTTTTTTCTTCAATTAACAGTCTCTCTACAATTTATTTTAAATGACTTAATGACCTTTGCTCATATACAGTGTTCTGCTTTCTACAAATTGTACCCCAGCTGCCATTTTTCAAAACTTTCAGAAAAGATTAGTGTCGGTACCTTTAGGTTAATTTTTTTCTTTACAGTGATTTATAGAAGTATTAAAAGAAAAACATACAATGTCATGTTGTTATGTAAGTTCCCAGCACTGCAGAGAACTACCAGAAATGCGCAAGACATAATAGATCACATGCATGACCTGCGCAAGGCTCTGGAATGTATTGATGAATTGTGTAAGAAGCGTATTAACTGAGGCGTGTGATTAATGTCCCAGTACTTGTACTATTCCTATTCAGCACCCCATTAGAGTACTCTGGTGTCGCACAAAGGGTGGGAAGCTGCCAAAATCACAAGAAGAGGCTTAACATGTACAAGAGTCCACCAGGAATCTGGGACAAAGTGTTTTACACAATAACTGCTGCTGTTCCAGAATGTGACTGATTTGGGTAGTGATGAATGAATAATGCTACAGCAATCAAGGGAGGTCTCCCTCTTATATTTTGAAGAGGGACCTACTAGCTCTAAACATATTTAAAGTGACACTAAACTCAGGAGTTAAAATACATTCAAGTACCTTAAGGCCTCATTCACACTGCCGTGCATATACACGCGTACGTGCGTATAGTACCATATGCAACATATGCAAATAAATGGCTCCATACACATAGCCGCGTATGGAGCCGTATATTTGCAATGAGGATCTACAGCTGAGTGATGCAAAAACAAGGTACAGTTTTGTTAATAGTTAAGGTACTAGAATGCATTTTTAAGATTTAACTCCTGAGTTTAGTGTCACTTTGAACTGCACATAAAGCTTACTGAAACTTCTGTAGCTTTTATTTGAGTAATATGGTTTTTACTAATGCATTTTTGTATGGAATGTTGTTTAAAAACATCACCTTCAGATTCCAGAAAAAAATCATCTTCCATTTGAATGAATGGTAGCCCATGGTAAAATGCTCTCTACAACAGTTATTCCCTTTGTTCACACCTCTGCGATGCAACATTACAGAGATGCTACAGGGTGTGTTGTGGTGTGCTGTGGTAGGGCACCTCACTAAGCCACTGTTCACACATAGGTGTGAATGCGCGCCAAACTCGGGGAAAAAACCACACGCTTTGACGTGCATTTACGGAGCACGTCAAAAAGTGCAATGTGCTTGCAGTGCCACTACTAGCTAATGGCACCCCAAGCGTGGCCAGGCAAACGTGCACAAAAAAATGCGGGACATCTGTTCCCGCTATGCATAGGTGTGAAAAGGGACTTAGGGATTGGAGAAGTAACCCAGTGTTTAGCGTTAAACACAGGTGTCGGGAAGATACACCTGCAGTTAATGTTTGTTACGTGTCACGTTCACTTCTTTATAAATATACCCCATAGTGAAATTAATTAAGTTTTTACTGCCAAAGGGTAAACTGGTTCTGATGGTATCCATAGGCATTAGGTGGTACAATTATTTGTTACTGTAGCAACAATGTGGTAAAATGGTATCACTTTCATGCTATGGAACTACATTTAACTACATCATTCTGTCTGTGGTAAGCAGAGTCATAGTCTGCAGCATAATATCACTAAACGTCTCACGCATGGAAAGTTTTTTTTTATATGTGGTTGTGTCTTAAGACACAAACCACAGGATTTGTTGTACCATCTGTGCCGTTAATCTAAAACCATAGAATTAGAGCTGCAGCTAACGATTATTTTCAAAATCGATTAGTTAGCCGAATAGAATACCCACACAATAAATCTTTATCTCGTGCATTGATTGCATTTTAGTTCAGATGCCAGATTACTGTAAGTGTACATGTGGAATATAAAACTGGTATGGTAAATGTGGAAAAATAAAATAAAATGCATGATACACATTGCATACCAATATCTCAATGATCTGGAAGTAGAATGTTGAGTAAAGAACCTGTACATTGTCAAATATTTCTGTTAAAGAAGAGAGCAGTAGGTGCTTGCATGCACCTCTGTGTGGTTGAAGGTCTCCCATGCTGTGCTTTGAAACCCTACCAACTTGGCCTTCAACTTTTGGGATGGAGTTGCCTAGCTGGAGCTTAGGCATTGGCAACTTCATGGCATAATGCAATGTAGGTGTCCCTCTTTGGCAGTGGCATTGTGTGATGAGAGAGGCCTGTCAAACCTTTAGGAAGACACAATTTGCAGGCTGTGGGGGCTAAGCAAGGAGGAATTTTGACTTTTCTGGAAATCTGCTGGGGGTGCACTGACTTTTGCTCTCATTTGAAAGAAATTGTGTCCTGGCCCCCAATCTTACCTGATCCCTTAAGCCTTGTTACCAAATCCTCCCCTCTCCTTTGCCCAAAAATGTAACCTAACCCTTAAAAACATTTAAAACCCCCCTAGTTCTTAAACTAACTGCGGTAGAATAGCCATAAAGCGCATTCTCATTATTGCGCTGTTATGCCACATTGCGTTAAGGTAGCCCATTTATTTGAATAGGCTGCCTAATACACTAAAATGCACTACAATGGTGCATGTAGCATTTTAACAGCACACCACAGCACTGTGCTGCAACACGCATCTATTCAGAATGAATAGCACCGCATCGCACCAATGTGTGTTACAGTGACCGCAGCAGTAGTGTGAATGGACCCTTATCATAGCCCCCCCAATATTATTCCATATCCACCAAGGTTAAAGAAAATCAGCACTAATAAAAATATAGAGGCTGCCATTGCTGAGATCCTTCTGAAAATGCTGGTTGCTTGGCTGCATCTGGCTTAAATATTTTTAGTCACTGACCCTAAAGAAGAGTGAGGATTAGAAAGTCAGATGTCCTGATCTGCATACCTGTTGTAGGAATGTAACTTGGAAAGCGCTAAAACAATTAGATCTGTGTTACAGCCAAGGACCTAGCATTTTTAAAAGGACAATCATGGCAATGTCCATATTTCTTACAGCACAGGTTTCCTTTAACAACCAACACTTCTAAATATAAATAATAACCACTAATATGGTTGACGTAGGGGTTCATTTATAATGGCTAGCAGTTATCGCTCTCCGCACTCCATTATGCTTCTCTATGCTTTTCCCATTTATAAATTCTGGGCCATGGTAGGGGTAGGCAACCGCAGCACTGCAGTTCTGAAAATACAAATCCCATCATACCTCTGCATCTGGGAGTCATGCCTGTGGCTTTCATAGACTGGCAATGCTTCTTGGGAATTGTAGTTCCACAACCTCTGGGGTGGCAAGGTTTTCTATCCCTCTCCTATGGCATTTGGCGTGCTTAATGCAGCACAGAGAACTCTGTTATTGGAAGAGAGCCAGTCATGTGACTTCTCCCAGTGCTTTTCTTTTTTTTTTTTCTT